ATCTACGGTACAGGAGACAAGAATGGGATGATGTTTTGTATTCTGACGAGACGCGATGGCAGGGCAGCAAGGGTGTACAGACGGCGAGGCGAACGGTATGCTGACTCGTGCGTTGTTCAACGTCGACAGTTTGGTGTCATCAGCGTTATGGTATGGGGGGTGGGGGCATCAGATCCCAAGGTCGGACACAACATGTCAATGTCAATGGCAACCTGACAGATCTGCGGTGCTGGGATGTGATCATTGGGCCTCATGTGCAGCCGTTCATTCAAGGACAGAGTAGTAACTTCACGCTTCAGCAAGATAATGCCCGTGAACATGCCGCTCGTGTTGTGACATATTTCCTGAGACAGCAGACCTGTCCCCTGTCGAGCACGCTTGCGATGAAATGGAGCGACGTTTACGGCAAGCCGAGAATCTGTGAATTGCTGAATTGGAATAAGACTTGGTTCAGACATGCAACAACTTTCCTCAAGCTTTCTTCAATCGCTTAGTGTCATCTATACGTCGTCGTTGTCAAGCCTGCATCGACGCCAATGGTGGACACGCTTGATATAGAATTTGTGAACTGATTTTTGACACCACATGTCTTCAAGGACGTGTCATGATGCCTGCTGTCAAATCATACCGATTTCGATATTATCCTGTCAACAGTTAAACGCCGGAAATCATGTTATAGTCTTTTTGTAATACAAAATAACATACATCAAATAATGCACAGTTACTTTATTCCAGTAGTGTACGTATACGTATGTTTGTACTCAGCAATATTCCAGCTATATGGAAGCGGCCTGTTTATAATCGCGTCTGGACCAGACAATCCAGTGATCATCAGCACGAGCATCGATCTAGCAATGGGATCGGTGCAATTGGGATGACGGTGAAACGTTGTGTCTACTTAAGTCAGTCGAGCCTGACCATCTGTTCTACCGAGAATTAGTCTGACCAACGTTAGTACGACACGCATGCGTACCTATTCTAATCCGAATCTTCACGTGTCGAGGCAGATTAACTGATAGGTGGTACAGCTAAGGACAGGTGGGAGGGAGGGTGTGTGTGTTTGTGTTATCGACATTAATCGTGTATTTCACAGCTGAATTAAGGAACGACGGGGATCTATGCAGAAGGAAATTCAATTGATAAGCTATTTAATCAGCTGTTGTATTTAAATGAGATCGACAAGTCTGAAACAAAATCTAAATGGGAAAAATATGTTGTTAGTAGCGGGATTAATGCTATCATCAGTTCTAAGTATACTGTTGTATCTAAAGAAAATATAAGCATGGTTTGGCCATGGAGAATGTATTTGGAGGATTGTCTTGGTTGAAACTGGTTTCGAGTTGGTGTCAGTTGAAACCTCAAAGACCTCAAGTGAGTGAGTGAATGAGTGAGTTTAGTTTTACGCCGCACTCAGCAATATCCCAGATATCTGGCGGCGGTCTGTAAATAATCGAGTCTGGACCAGACAGTCCAGGGATCAACAGCATGAACATCGATCTACGCAGTTAGGTTCAGATGACATGTGTTAACCAAGTCAGCGAGCCTGACCACCCGATCCCGTAATTCACCTCTAACGACAAGCATGGGCTACTGAAGTTCAATTCTAACCCGGACTTTCACGGGTCGAAGACCTCGAGAGGCGTAATACCCAGAGCACCCCTCAATGAACAATTGTCAACAGACCGAGCAGATTGTCGAAGGCTATTTCCAACTTATACCCGTCGTTGAACAGATCAAGCCTTCCGTGAACACCACAGTCCCGGTGTTCACTCAGGTGTGAAGACAATAAACAGGGACATCGAGAATATCATATGAACCCTAAGAGAAGCGAGCAGTGATTCGCTGTGATGGGTGCCATAAACACACCTATCCTAAACAGTCTTAAGTGTCCCATTGAAGCATAGTGATTTAACGTGCGATGTGGACATGGGGCACAGCTCAGGATACAACTCTATGTGTAAATGACACTGAAAATGATCATGGGAATGTCTCACTGTTTGTTGTGGGGAGTGAGTGAGTGAATATGGTTTTACGCCGCTTTTAGCAATATTCCAGCAATATCACGGCGGGGAACACCAAAAATGGGCTTCACACATTGTACCCACGTGGGAAATCGGGTCTTCGACGTGACGAGCGAACGCTTTAACTACTACCCCAAAGAACGAATGTGTTACTCTGTTCACACAACATACTTACAGACACATTATAAAGAAAACTTGCAGTTTTACCAAGCCACATATTTATATGATTCTGGTGACAATTTAGTCAGCTTGTATACATACATAACTTGTATGTAGTGACAACGGCGTAAGAATATACACCGACACTTCGCTGAATACAATAAACAAGTGGTTGTTATCCATAATATCGTATACTTTATAATTGATATAGAACTTTCATGTGCTCCCTTTCTGACAAGTGAGTGTTTCTCAATCAAAAAGAAAATGCCCTGAAGGAAATGACTGATGTACGAAAACGTCCTCTTCACAAGCTGAAATGCTTTGGCTTAATATCAAATGATTTAGCATGTAATAGGTCTGAGATATGATGTCTTATCCAGGCCATCTGTTCCCATGCTCTAACGATGAGGCATGTCAAGATGGTATTAATGCCATGGAAAGGTATGAAACTAATAACTTACTGTTGTTTTACAAGAACAAACGCAGGAAACATGGAAGGTGCATGTTAGTCTGAAATATTAATATTTTTCTATATTTTTTACTTCCGTATTGTATTTGTTCAGAGATGTAATAACATGCTTTTCTCATCCCTCCGACATATAGCACCTCCAGCTGGGGTATGTACAGACACTGTCACGAAAGTGGAGAGCTGCATGGCCTACACATGTGTGATAGGGGCATGGGTTCCAACGGAATTCACAGCAACACCTCCCTGCTGTATGCTACCAGAAAATGCTGCAGAACTTTCATGTGCTCCCTTTCTGACAAGTGAGTACTTCTCAGTCTAAAGGAAAATGCTCTGACGGATATGACTGATGTAGGAAAACGTCCTCTTCACAAGCTGAAATGCTTTGGCTTAATATCAAATGATTTAGCATGTAATAAGTCTGAGATATGATGTCTTATCCAGGCCATCTGTTCCCATGCTCTAACGATGAGGCATGTCAAGATGGTATTAATGCCATGGAAAGGTATGACACTATTAACTTACTGTTGTTTTACAAGAACAAACGCAGGAAACATGGAAGGTGCATGTTAGTCTGAAATATTAATATTTTTCTATATTGTTTTGCTTTTTTGTTCTTTTTCATCAGAGATGTAATAACATGCTTTTTTCATCCCTCCGACATATAGCACCTCCAGCTGGGGTATGTACAGACACTGTCACGAAAGTGGAGAGCTGCATGGCCTACACATGTGTGATAGGGGCATGGGTTCCAACGGGATTCACAGCAACACCTCCCTGCTGTATGCTACCAGAAAATGCCGCAGAACTTTCATGTGCTCCCTTTCTGACAAGTGAGTACTTCTCAGTCTAAAGGAAAATGCTCTGACGGATATGACTGATGTACGAAAACGTCCTCTTCACAAGCTGAAATGCCTTGGCATAATATCAAATGATTTAGCATATAATAAGTCTGAGATATGATGTCTTATCCAGGCCATCTGTTCCCATGCTCTAATGATGAGGCATGTCAAGATGGTATTAATGCCATGGAAAGGTATGAAACTAATAACTTACTGTTGTTTTACAAGAACAAACGCAGGAAACATGGAAGGTGCATGTTAGTCTGAAATATTAATATTTTTCTATATTTGTTTTTACTTCCGTATTGTATTTGATCAGAGATGTAATAACATGCTTTTTTCATCCCTCCGACATATAGCACCTCCAGCTGGGGTATGTACAGACACTGTCACGAAAGTGGAGAGCTGCATGGCCTACACATGTGTGATAGGGGCATGGGTTCCAACGGGATTCACAGCAACACCTCCCTGCTGTATGCTACCAGAAAATGCCGCAGAACTTTCATGTGCTCCCTTTCTGACAAGTGAGTACTTCTCAGTCTAAAGAAAAATGCTCTGACGGATATGACTGATGTAGGAAAACGTCCTCTTCACAAGCTGAAATGCTTTGGCTTAATATCAAATGATTTAGCATGTAATAAGTCTGAGATATGATGTCTTATCCAGGCCATCTGTTCCCATGCTCTAACGATGAGGCATGTCAAGATGGTATTAATGCCATGGAAAGGTATGAAACTAATAACTTACTGTTGTTTTACAAGAACAAACGCAGGAAAGATGGAAGGTGCATGTTAGTCTGAAATATTAATATTTTTCTATATTTGTTTTTACTTCCGTATTGTATTTGATCAGAGATGTAATAACATGCTTTTTTCATCCCTCCGACATATAGCACCTCCAGCTGGGGTATGTACAGACACTGTCACGAAAGTGGAGAGCTGCATGGCCTACACATGTGTGATAGGGGCATGGGTACCAACGGGATTCACAGCAACACCTCCCTGCTGTATGCTACCAGAAAATGCTGCAGAACTTTCATGTGCTCCCTTTCTGACAAGTGAGTACTTCTCAGTCTAAAGGAAAATGCTCTGACGGATATGACAGATGTATGAAAACGTCCTCTTCACAAGCTGAAATGCCTTGGCATAATATCAAATGATTTAGCATATAATAGGTCTGAGATATGATGTCTTATCCAGGCCATCTGTTCCCATGCTCTAATGATGAGGCATGTCAAGATGGTATTAATGCCATGGAAAGGTATGAAACTAATAACTTACTGTTGTTTTACAAGAACAAACGCAGGAAACATGGTAGGTGCATGTTAGTCTGAAATATTAATATTTTTTTATATTTGTTTTTACTTCCGTATTGTATTTGATCAGAGATGTAATAACATGCTTTTTTCATCCCTCCGACATATAGCACCTCCAGCTGGGGTATGTACAGACACTGTCACGAAAGTGGAGAGCTGCATGGCCTACACATGTGTGATAGGGGCATGGGTTCCAACGGGATTCACAGCAACACCTCCCTGCTGTATGCTACCAGAAAATGCCGCAGAACTTTCATGTGCTCCCTTTCTGACAAGTGAGTACTTCTCAGTCTAAAGGAAAATGCTCTGACGGATATGACTGATGTAGGAAAACGTCCTCTTCACAAGCTGAAATGCTTTGGCTTAATATCAAATGATTTAGCATGTAATAAGTCTGAGATATGATGTCTTATCCAGGCCATCTGTGCCCATGCTCTAACGATGAGGCATGTCAAGATGGTATTAATGCCATGGAAAGGTATGACACTAATAACTTACTGTTGTTTTACAAGAACAAACGCAGGAAACATGGAAGGTGCATGTTAGTCTGAAATATTAATATTTTTCTATATTTGTTTTTACTTCCGTATTGTATTTGATCAGAGATGTAATAACATGCTTTTCTCATCCCTCCGACATATAGCACCTCCAGCTGGGGTATGTACAGACACTGTCACGAAAGTGGAGAGCTGCATGGCCTACACATGTGTGATAGGGGCATGGGTGCCAACAGGATTCACAGCAACACCTCCCTGCTGTGTGCTACCAGAAAATGCCGCAGAACTTTCATGTGCTCCCTTTCTGACAAGTGAGTACTTCTCAGTCTAAAGGAAAATGCTCTGACGGAAATGACAGATGTAGGAAAACGTCCTCTTCACAAGCTGAAAATGCTTTGGTATAATATCAAATGATTTAGCATGAAGAAGGTCTAAGATATGGTGTCTTATCCAGGCCATCTGTTCCCATGCTCTAACGATGAGGCATGTCAAGATGGTATTAATGCCATGGAAAGGTATGAAACTATTAACTTACTGTTGTTTTACAAGAACAAACGCAGGAAACATGGAAGGTGCATGTTAGTCTGAAATATTAATATTTTTTATATTTGTTTTTACTTCCGTATTGTATTTAATCAGAGATGTAATAACATGCTTTTTTCATCCCTCCGACATATAGCACCTCCAGCTGGGGTATGTACAGACACTGTCACGAAAGTGGAGAGCTGCATGGCCTACACATGTGTGATAGGGGCATGGGTGCCAACGGGATTCACAGCAACACCTCCCTGCTGTATGCTACCAGAAAATGCCGCAGAACTTTCATGTGCTCCCTTTCTGACAAGTGAGTACTTCTCAGTCTAAAGGGAAATGCTCTGACGGTTGTGACTGATGTAGGAAAACGTCCTCTTCACAAGCTGAAATGCTTTGGCTTAATATCAAATGATTTAGCATGTAATAAGTCTGAGATATGATGTCTTATCCAGGCCATCTGTTCCCATGCTCTAACGATGAGGCATGTCAAGATGGTATTAATGCCATGGAAAGGTATGACACTATTAACTAACTGTTGTTTTACAAGAACAAACGCAGGAAACATGGAAGGTGCATGTTAGTCTGAAATATTAATATTTTTCTATATTGTTTTGCTTTTTTGTTGTATTTGATCAGAGATGTAATAACATGCTTTTTTCATCCCTCCGACATATAGCACCTCCAGCTGGGGTATGTACAGACACTGTCACGAAAGTGGAGAGCTGCATGGCCTACACATGTGTGATAGGGGCATGGGTACCAACGGGATTCACAGCAACACCTCCCTGCTGTATGCTACCAGAAAATGCCGCAGAACTTTCATGTGCTCCCTTTCTGACAAGTGAGTACTTCTTAGTCTAAAGGAAAATGCTCTGACGGATATGACAGATGTATGAAAACGTCCTCTTCACAAGCTGAAATGCCTTGGCATAATATCAAATGATTTAGCATATAATAGGTCTGAGATATGATGTCTTATCCAGGCCATCTGTTCCCATGCTCTAATGATGAGGCATGTCAAGATGGTATTAATGCCATGGAAAGGTATGAAACTAATAACTTACTGTTGTTTTACAAGAACAAACGCAGGAAACATGGTAGGTGCATGTTAGTCTGAAATATTAATATTTTTTTATATTTGTTTTTTCTTCCGTATTGTATTTGATCAGAGATGTAATAACATGCTTTTTTCATCCCTCCGACATATAGCACCTCCAGCTGGGGTATGTACAGACACTGTCACGAAAGTGGAGAGCTGCATGGCCTACACATGTGTGATAGGGGCATGGGTTCCAACGGGATTCACAGCAACACCTCCCTGCTGTATGCTACCAGAAAATGCCGCAGAACTTTCATGTGCTCCCTTTCTGACAAGTGAGTACTTCTCAGTCTAAAGGAAAATGCTCTGACGGATATGACTGATGTAGGAAAACGTCCTCTTCACAAGCTGAAATGCTTTGGCTTAATATCAAATGATTTAGCATGTAATAAGTCTGAGATATGATGTCTTATCCAGGCCATCTGTGCCCATGCTCTAACGATGAGGCATGTCAAGATGGTATTAATGCCATGGAAAGGTATGACACTAATAACTTACTGTTGTTTTACAAGAACAAACGCAGGAAAGATGGAAGGTGCATGTTAGTCTGAAATATTAATATTTTTCTATATTTGTTTTTACTTCCGTATTGTATTTGATCAGAGATGTAATAACATGCTTTTCTCATCCCTCCGACATATAGCACCTCCAGCTGGGGTATGTACAGACACTGTCACGAAAGTGGAGAGCTGCATGGCCTACACATGTGTGATAGGGGCATGGGTGCCAACAGGATTCACAGCAACACCTCCCTGCTGTGTGCTACCAGAAAATGCCGCAGAACTTTCATGTGCTCCCTTTCTGACAAGTGAGTACTTCTCAGTCTAAAGGAAAATGCTCTGACGGAAATGACAGATGTAGGAAAACGTCCTCTTCACAAGCTGAAAATGCTTTGGTATAATATCAAATGATTTAGCATGAAGAAGGTCTAAGATATGGTGTCTTATCCAGGCCATCTGTTCCCATGCTCTAACGATGAGGCATGTCAAGATGGTATTAATGCCATGGAAAGGTATGAAACTATTAACTTACTGTTGTTTTACAAGAACAAACGCAGGAAACATGGAAGGTGCATGTTAGTCTGAAATATTAATATTTTTTTATATTTGTTTTTACTTCCGTATTGTATTTAATCAGAGATGTAATAACATGCTTTTTTCATCCCTCCGACATATAGCACCTCCAGCTGGGGTATGTACAGACACTGTCACGAAAGTGGAGAGCTGCATGGCCTACACATGTGTGATAGGGGCATGGGTGCCAACGGGATTCACAGCAACACCTCCCTGCTGTATGCTACCAGAAAATGCCGCAGAACTTTCATGTGCTCCCTTTCTGACAAGTGAGTACTTCTCAGTCTAAAGGGAAATGCTCTGACGGTTGTGACTGATATAGGAAAACGTCCTCTTCACAAGCTGAAATGCTTTGGCTTAATATCAAATGATTTAGCATGTAATAAGTCTGAGATATGATGTCTTATCCAGGCCATCTGTTCCCATGCTCTAACGATGAGGCATGTCAAGATGGTATTAATGCCATGGAAAGGTATGACACTATTAACTTACTGTTGTTTTACAAGAACAAACGCAGGAAACATGGAAGGTGCATGTTAGTCTGAAATATTAATATTTTTCTATATTGTTTTGCTTTTTTGTTGTATTTGATCAGAGATGTAATAACATGCTTTTTTCATCCCTCCGACATATAGCACCTCCAGCTGGGGTATGTACAGACACTGTCACGAAAGTGGAGAGCTGCATGGCCTACACATGTGTGATAGGGGCATGGGTACCAACGGGATTCACAGCAACACCTCCCTGCTGTATGCTACCAGAAAATGCCGCAGAACTTTCATGTGCTCCCTTTCTGACAAGTGAGTACTTCTTAGTCTAAAGGAAAATGCTCTGACGGATATGACAGATGTATGAAAACGTCCTCTTCACAAGCTGAAATGCCTTGGCATAATATCAAATGATTTAGCATATAATAGGTCTGAGATATGATGTCTTATCCAGGCCATCTGTTCCCATGCTCTAATGATGAGGCATGTCAAGATGGTATTAATGCCATGGAAAGGTATGAAACTAATAACTTACTGTTGTTTTACAAGAACAAACGCAGGAAAGATGGAAGGTGCATGTTAGTCTGAAATATTAATATTTTTTATATTTGTTTTACTTCCGTATTGTATTTGATCAGAGATGTAATAACATGCTTTTTTCATCCCTCCGACATATAGCACCTCCAGCTGGGGTATGTACAGACACTGTCACGAAAGTGGAGAGCTGCATGGCCTACACATGTGTGATAGGGGCATGGGTTCCAACGGGATTCACAGCAACACCTCCCTGCTGTATGCTACCAGAAAATGCCGCAGAACTTTCATGTGCTCCCTTTCTGACAAGTGAGTACTTCTCAGTCTAAAGGAAAATGCTCTGACGGATATGACTGATGTAGGAAAACGTCCTCTTCACAAGCTGAAATGCTTTGGCTTAATATCAAATGATTTAGCATGTAATAAGTCTGAGATATGATGTCTTATCCAGGCCATCTGTGCCCATGCTCTAACGATGAGGCATGTCAAGATGGTATTAATGCCATGGAAAGGTATGAAACTAATAACTTACTGTTGTTTTACAAGAACAAACGCAGGAAAGATGGAAGGTGCATGTTAGTCTGAAATATTAATATTTTTCTATATTTGTTTTTACTTCCGTATTGTATTTGATCAGAGATGTAATAACATGCTTTTTTCATCCCTCCGACATATAGCACCTCCAGCTGGGGTATGTACAGACACTGTCACGAAAGTGGAGAGCTGCATGGCCTACACATGTGTGATAGGGCATGGGTACCAACGGGATTCACAGCAACACCTCCCTGCTGTATGCTACCAGAAAATGCCGCAGAACTTTCATGTGCTCCCTTTCTGACAAGTGAGTACTTCTCAGTCTAAAGGAAAATGCTCTGACGGATATGACAGATGTAGAAAACGTCCTCTTCACAAGCTGAAATGCTTTGGCATAATATCAAATGATTTAGCATGTAATAGGTCTGAGATATGATGTCTTATCCAGGCCATCTGTTCCCATGCTCTAACGATGAGGCATGTCAAGATGGTATTAATGCCATGGAAAGGTATGAAACTATTAACTTACTGTTGTTTTACAAGAACAAACGCAGGAAACATGGAAGGTGCATGTTAGTCTGAAATATTAATATTTTTTATATTTGTTTTACTTCCGTATTGTATTTGATCAGAGATGTAATAACATGCTTTTTCATCCCTCCGACATATAGCACCTCCAGCTGGGGTATGTACAGACACTGTCACGAAAGTGGAGAGCTGCATGGCCTACACATGTGTGATAGGGGCATGGGTGCCAACGGGATTCACAGCAACACCTCCCTGCTGTATGCTACCAGAAAATGCCGCAGAACTTTCATGTGCTCCCTTTCTGACAAGTGAGTACTTCTCAGTCTAAAGGAAAATGCTCTGACGGATATGACTGATATAGGAAAACGTCCTCTTCACAAGCTGAAATGCTTTGGCTTAATATCAAATGATTTAGCATGTAATAAGTCTGAGATATGATGTCTTATCCAGGCCATCTGTTCCCATGCTCTAACGATGAGGCATGTCAAGATGGTATTAATGCCATGGAAAGGTATGACACTATTAACTTACTGTTGTTTTACAAGAACAAACGCAGGAAACATGGAAGGTGCATGTTAGTCTGAAATATTAATATTTTTCTATATTGTTTTGCTTTTTTGTTGTATTTGATCAGAGATGTAATAACATGCTTTTTTCATCCCTCCGACATATAGCACCTCCAGCTGGGGTATGTACAGACACTGTCACGAAAGTGGAGAGCTGCATGGCCTACACATGTGTGATAGGGGCATGGGTTCCAACGGGATTCACAGCAACACCTCCCTGCTGTATGCTACCAGAAAATGCCGCAGAACTTTCATGTGCTCCCTTTCTGACAAGTGAGTACTTCTCAGTCTAAAGGAAAATGCTCTGACGGATATGACAGATGTATGAAAACGTCCTCTTCACAAGCTGAAATGCCTTGGCATAATATCAAATGATTTAGCATATAATAGGTCTGAGATATGATGTCTTATCCAGGCCATCTGTTCTCATGCTCTAATGATCAGGGCATGTCAAGATGGTATTAATGCCATGGAAAGGTATGAAACTAATAACTTACTGTTGTTTTACAAGAACAAACGCAGGAAACATGGAAGGTGCATGTTAGTCTGAAATATTAATATTTTTTTATATTTGTTTTTACTTCCGTATTGTATTTGTTCAGAGATGTAATAACATGCTTTTTTCATCCCTCCGACATATAGCACCTCCAGCTGGGGTATGTACAGACACTGTCACGAAAGTGGAGAGCTGCATGGCCTACACATGTGTGATAGGGGCATGGGTTCCAACGGGATTCACAGCAACACCTCCCTGCTGTATGCTACCAGAAAATGCCGCAGAACTTTCATGTGCTCCCTTTCTGACAAGTGAGTACTTCTCAGTCTAAAGGAAAATGCTCTGACGGATATGACTGATGTAGGAAAACGTCCCCTTCACAAGCTGAAATGCTTTGGCTTAATATCAAATGATTTAGCATATAATAAGTCTGAGATATGATGTCTTATCCAGGCCATCTGTGCCCATGCTCTAACGATGAGGCATGTCAAGATGGTATTAATGCCATGGAAAGGTATGACACTAATAACTTACTGTTGTTTTACAAGAACAAACGCAGGAAACATGGAAGGTGCATGTTAGTCTGAAATATTAATATTTTTCTATATTTGTTTTTACTTCCGTATTGTATTTGATCAGAGATGTAATAACATGCTTTTTCATCCCTCCGACATATAGCACCTCCAGCTGGGGTATGTACAGACACTGTCACGAAAGTGGAGAGCTGCATGGCCTACACATGTGTGATAGGGGCATGGGTGCCAACGGGATTCACAGCAACACCTCCCTGCTGTATGCTACCAGAAAATGCCGCAGAACTTTCATGTGCTCCCTTTCTGACAAGTGAGTACTTCTCAGTCTAAAGGAAAATGCTCTGACGGATGTGACTGATGTAGGAAAACGTCCTCTTCACAAGCTGAAATGCTTTGGCTTAATATCAAATGATTTAGCATGTAATAAGTCTGAGATATGATGTCTTATCCAGGCCATCTGTTCCCATGCTCTAACGATGAGGCATGTCAAGATGGTATTAATGCCATGGAAAGGTATGACACTATTAACTTACTGTTGTTTTACAAGAACAAACGCAGGAAACATGGAAGGTGCATGTTAGTCTGAAATATTAATATTTTTCTATATTTGTTTTGCTTTTTGTTGTATTTGATCAGAGATGTAATAACATGCTTTTTCATCCCTCCGACATATAGCACCTCCAGCTGGGGTATGTACAGACACTGTCACGAAAGTGGAGAGCTGCATGGCCTACACATGTGTGATAGGGGCATGGGTACCAACGGGATTCACAGCAACACCTCCCCTGCTGTATGCTACCAGAAAATGCCGCAGAACTTTCATGTGCTCCCTTTCTGACAAGTGAGTACTTCTTAGTCTAAAGGAAAATGCTCTGACGGATATGACAGATGTATGAAAACGTCCTCTTCACAAGCTGAAATGCTTTGGCATAATATCAAATGATTTAGCATATAATAGGTCTGAGATATGATGTCTTATCCAGGCCATCTGTTCTCATGCTCTAATGATAAGGGCATGTCAAGATGGTATTAATGCCATGGAAAGGTATGACACTAATAACTTACTGTTGTTTTACAAGAACAAACGCAGGAAACATGGAAGGTGCATGTTAGTCTGAAATATTAATATTTTTTTATATTTGTTTTTACTTCCGTATTGTATTTGATCAGAGATGTAATAACATGCTTTTTTCATCCCTCCGACATATAGCACCTCCAGCTGGGGTATGTACAGACACTGTCACGAAAGTGGAGAGCTGCATGGCCTACACATGTGTGATAGGGGCATGGGTGCCAACGGGATTCACAGCAACACCTCCCTGCTGTATGCTACCAGAAAATGCCGCAGAACTTTCATGTGCTCCCTTTCTGACAAGTGAGTACTTCTCAGTCTAAAGGAAAATGCTCTGACGGATATGACTGATGTAGGAAAACGTCCTCTTCACAAGCTGAAATGCTTTGGCTTAATATCAAATGATTTAGCATGTAATAAGTCTGAGATATGATGTCTTATCCAGGCCATCTGTTCCCATGCTCTAACGATGAGGCATGTCAAGATGGTATTAATGCCATGGAAAGGTATGAAACTAATAACTTACTGTTGTTTTACAAGAACAAACGCAGGAAACATGGAAGGTGCATGTTAGTCTGAAATATTAATATTTTTCTATATTTGTTTTTACTTCCGTATTGTATTTGATCAGAGATGTAATAACATGCTTTTTTCATCCCTCCGACATATAGCACCTCCAGCTGGGGTATGTACAGACACTGTCACGAAAGTGGAGAGCTGCATGGCCTACACATGTGTGATAGGGGCATGGGTACCAACGGGATTCACAGCAACACCTCCCTGCTGTATGCTACCAGAAAATGCCGCAGAACTTTCATGTGCTCCCTTTCTGACAAGTGAGTACTTCTCAGTCTAAAGGAAAATGCTCTGACGGATATGACTGATGTAGGAAAACGTCCTCTTCACAAGCTGAAATGCTTTGGCATAATATCAAATGATTTAGCATGTAATAAGTCTGAGATATGATGTCTTATCCAGGCCATCTGTTCCCATGCTCTAACGATGAGGCATGTCAAGATGGTATTAATGCCATGGAAAGGTATGAAACTAATAACTTACTGTTGTTTTACAAGAACAAACGCAGGAAACATGGAAGGTGCATGTTAGTCTGAAATATTAATATTTTTCTATATTTGTTTTTACTTCCGTATTGTATTTGATCAGAGATGTAATAACATGCTTTTTTCATCCCTCCGACATATAGCACCTCCAGCTGGGGTATGTACAGACACTGTCACGAAAGTGGAGAGCTGCATGGCCTACACATGTGTGATAGGGGCATGGGTACCAACGGGATTCACAGCAACACCTCCCTGCTGTATGCTACCAGAAAATGCTGCAGAACTTTCATGTGCTCCCTTTCTGACAAGTGAGTACTTCTCAGTCTAAAGGAAAATGCTCTGACGGATATGACTGATGTAGGAAAACGTCCTCTTCACAATCTGAAATGCTTTGGCATAATATCAAATGATTTAGCATGTAATAAGTCTGAGATATGATGTCTTATCCAGGCCATCTGTTCCCATGCTCTAACGATGAGGCATGTCAAGATGGTATTAATGCCATGGAAAGGTATGAAACTAATAACTTACTGTTGTTTTACAAGAACAAACGCAGGAAACATGGAAGGTGCATGTTAGTCTGAAATATTAATATTTTTCTATATTTGTTTTTACTTCCGTATTGTATTTGATCAGAGATGTAATAACATGCTTTTTTCATCCCTCCGACATATAGCACCTCCAGCTGGGGTATGTACAGACACTGTCACGAAAGTGGAGAGCTGCATGGCCTACACATGTGTGATAGGGGCATGGGTGCCAACGGGATTCACAGCAACACCTCCCTGCTGTATGCTACCAGAAAATGCCGCAGAACTTTCATGTGCTCCCTTTCTGACAAGTGAGTACTTCTCAGTCTAAAGGAAAATGCTCTGACGGATATGACTGATGTAGGAAAACGTCCTCTTCACAAGCTGAAATGCTTTGGCTTAATATCAAATGATTTAGCATGTAATAAGTCTGAGATATGATGTCTTATCCAGGCCATCTGTTCCCATGCTCTAACGATGAGGCATGTCAAGATGGTATTAATGCCATGGAAAGGTATGACACTATTAACTTACTGTTGTTTTACAAGAACAAACGCAGGAAACATGGAAGGTGCATGTTAGTCTGAAATATTAATATTTTTCTATATTGTTTTGCTTTTTTGTTCTTTTTCATCAGAGATGTAATAACATGCTTTTTTCATCCCTCCGACATATAGCACCTCCAGCTGGGGTATGTACAGACACTGTCACGAAAGTGGAGAGCTGCATGGCCTACACATGTGTGATAGGGGCATGGGTACCAACGGGATTCACAGCAACACCTCCCTGCTGTATGCTACCAGAAAATGCCGCAGAACTTTCATGTGCTCCCTTTCTGACAAGTGAGTACTTCTCAGTCTAAAGGGAAATGCTCTGACGGTTGTGACTGATATAGGAAAACGTCCTCTTCACAAGCTGAAATGCTTTGGCATAATATCAAACGATTTAACATGAAGAAGGTCTAAGATATGGTGTCTTATCCAGGCCATCTGTTCCCATGCTCTAATGATGAGGCATGTCAAGATGGTATTAATGCCATGGAAAGGTATGAAACTAATAACTTACTGTTGTTTTACAAGAACAAACGCAGGAAACATGGAAGGTGCATGTTAGTCTGAAATATTAATATTTTTCTATATTTGTTTTTACTTCCGTATTGTATTTGATCAGAGATGTAATAACATGCTTTTTTCATCCCTCCGACATATAGCACCTCCAGCTGGGGTATGTACAGACACTGTCACGAAAGTGGAGAGCTGCATGGCCTACACATGTGTGATTGGGGCATGGGTACCAACGGGATTCACAGCAACACCTCCCTGCTGTATGCTACCAGAAAATGCTGCAGAACTTTCATGTGCTCCCTTTCTGACAAGTGAGTACTTCTCAGTCTAAAGGAAAATGCTCTGACGGATATGACTGATGTAGGAAAACGTTCTCTTCACAATCTGAAATGCTTTGGCATAATATCAAATGATTTAGCATGTAATAAGTCTGA